CTGTTGGTGATGGCCGACGTGATGATACTGTATACTTGTCTTCAATTCATTTTTATTCGCGTCGTCGCGCTAAAACATCGCCGCCATCTCCTTCGTGTCGCGACTCCTTGATGTTGTACAATTGTCATTTCCAGGCGACGTCATGAGTGGTGTCAAATCACTTCTCCAAAGAGAATTGGAGGATGATTCATCTTCAGACGATGATGATTATTTCATCATCGCAACTGCTGCAATTGTCCAAACGTTTTCGAGTCATAAACGAAGACCTGATGGTTCTGTCCCTGGCCATGCTGTTATTTATCGAGATAGAGAAGGCGGCCATCGAAGGATGTTTCAAGATTATTTGACGGATAATCCAACGTACGGACCACATTTATTCCGTCGGAGGTTTGTGGTCATTCACCTTTGATTGCCCCGTACTATGCACTTAAGTATTATATGTGTTATTAAACTTTTGTTTATTTTTCTTGATGAGTAGGGAGCTTTTCCTACGCATAATGAATGTTGTTGAGTCACATGATGATTACTTTGTGCAAAAAAGAAATGCGGCCAACGTACTTGGATTAAGTTGCTTCCAAAAAGTCACTGCTGCATTTCGTATGCTCACATATGGGGTTCCCGCTGATGCTACAGATGAGTATGTCCGCATTGGAGAGAGTACTGCACTTGAGAGACTACGTAGGTTCGTTGCTGCAGTTGTTGATTTATTTGAAGATGAGTACCTGAGACATCCCAATGAGGCAGACACGACACGTTTACTGGCACTCGGTGAGAGAAGGGGTTTTCCTGGAATGCTAGGGTCCATTGACTGTATGCATTGAGCGTGGAAGAATTGTCCAGTCGAACATCAGGGTCAGTACAAGGGGCATGTGGAGAAGCTCACTATCATTTTAGAAGCTGTTGCTTCGAATGGCCTTTGGATATGACATGCCTTTTTTGGAATGCCTGGGTCGCATAATGACATCAATGTCCTTCATCGGTCTCCGTTATTTGCAAACCTGGCAGAGGGTAGAGCTCCAGATGTGAACTACACTATTAATGGTTATGATTACACCATGGGGTATTATCTAGCAGATGGTATATACCCCTCATGTGCTACTTTAGTCAAGTCCATCTCTCTACTTATGTGGAACAAGAACAAATATTTTGCCAAAGCACAAGAAGCAGCGAGGAAGGATGTGGAAAGAGTTTTGGGGTTCTGCAATCTAGGTTTGCCATTGTTCGAGGACCAGCTCGCTTGTGGGACACAGAGACACTTGCTTTGATCATGAGGGCATGTGTGATCATGCACAATATGATTGTTGAAGATGAAGGATTCGTCAACCCTGATGAGCGGTTCGATTATGGTGGTCAAAATGTGCAACCTAATCGTGGCCAGGCTACTCGACCACTTGCATAATTTATTAATGCTCATAAAAGGATTAGAGACCAGGAAGCACATTTTCAATTGAAAGAAGACCTCATCGAGCACCTATGGAACCATCATCCGGATTTATATTAGCTACATATTGCATTTTCATTTAATTGTTAAGATCATTTTATGTTATCAGTCTACTGTAATGAATAATATTTTTTTAAAGTGCGTTATCAGGACATTGAGTATGTTGTGTGTTACCAGTAAATTACGTGTGCTATCGGTGAATCGTCATCCAACTCTCTTTGGAGAAGTGATTCGAAACCACTCATGACGTCGACTAACCCGCCTGCGAATGACAATTGGACAAGATCAATCAACTGATCCCGACCACCCGCAAGTTATTGATCAACGCGGCACAAACCTGGGAGATGTGCCGGCTGCGAGCTCATGGAGGCCGTCTGGGAGGTGCTGGTGGTCGACTGCTAGGTACTAGTGGCCAAATCCGACGTGCTGGTGGCCGGTGCTGGTGGCTCCGACGTGCAAGGCAACAGGGACGGTGATGGCCGGCGGGAGGAGGAGAAGCCCGGCTGTGACGTCCAGACGCCGTGAAGGAACCGCGCGAGGGATGGAAGTCCGTGGCGGCGGCTTCTTGGCGCGACGACGCGAAAGATTTCGCGCGTAAAAGCGTCTTCCCGCAGCAAAAAAACAAGACCGTGGGCCCAACTTTTCATTTTGGCAAGTCAATTATGGGAAACTATTGGAGATTGACCTTTTTTTCCTTTGCCATAACATTTGGGGAGTTGCTAAACTCCAAGATTTGGGAAACAAAAAATCCCAAACTGTTGGAGTTGCTCTTAGAATGAAAGGGTCATTGTCGGGAGGGATAACAAAGGGCTATGACAAGGAGTCACATCAAGCAGGCAATGGCATGACAAGGCTGATGATAGCAAGCGGAGGTGGGATAATTAGCGGGGTTGTGATAGGTGATACCATTGCTAGGATGGCTTTTGAGGCTAAAATGGAGGCGATGCCTGAGAGGAAGAAGACAGTGTCCGGAGAAAGAAGACGATGTTGAGTATGTGACGTGGAAGATAAAAAGGTTACAACCAGTGTCGTTGTATTTGAAAAAATTGTCTTTTGGTTGTGATTGTATTCTACCAGGATATTGCATTAAAACCGTCAATATAGCTAACCCCATGTTATCATGTAGCATCATCCCTAAAAATAAAGTTATTGTATCATTTTTTCCTCCATAAATCATGAGAGCTACATTCAAATCACCATAAGATTACGAGTCGTAGGATCTTTTATGTCTCTCTTTTGCTAATAAATGACAAAATAAAGATTTTTGCTAAAGGAAAAGGTTTTCAACACGAGCTCCGGCACTCTCATGTAATGGTTTCTCTTTTCGTGTCCTTGCCTCCCGCATATAATGCCTCCTAATTCAATTCTAGAATAAATATTTATCTCCTCCCTTTTTGTGGGTCTCCCTCCTTTAGAGGGGATCTTCCGTAATATTTACTAGATCATAATCATTTTAGTGAAATCTCCATGTATTTGGTTAAAAAAAACCCATGCATTTTATGACTTACGCATAACTTGATTACACCAAGAAGACGGTCAAGGATGCTTGTCGAAGGCAATAAGGTTTAGTGTTTCTGAAGTTTTTTGGACTTAGAAGCTATGAGGAAGGTCAGCCTAGTAGTGGATGACACTGCAACGAGATTACAAATTGGGCCCGAGGCATCATGTGGAGTGTTGCGGAGGAACAGTGGCGAGCAGCCCCGTCAGGCAGCCATAGTATGAGGCAAGGTGGTGGGAATGCCACAATGGTGTAGTAGAGGCAGAGTCATTAGCGGCTATATCAGGTGGTACACTGTAGTTAAGCAGGGCTATGGCCAGGTGGACGTGGATGCCACAAAAGAAGGTGTTATTGGGAGGAAGAGAAGACATGAAGAAGACGAGGAGTTGTTTGAACAAAAAAAGCAATCCGTCTATGACCAAGATCATAGGTGTGAATAGATTTATATAAACTTAAGTTACCGTTCGAAAGAAAAAAAAACAAATGTCCCGATTTAGTTGATTTTGATTCTGTGTCCTACTAGGATATTGCATAAGAATGAGGTAATCCCATGTAGCAGCATCCTGACCATCAGACCGCATGATCGTTGATCTAATGGTTGTAATGCAACTATCAACTTTACCAATAAGCGAATGAAAACAAAATGTTAAAGAAAAACTTTTGGCCAGGAGTCCAACCTTTTTCATGTAATTATTTCTCTTTTCCTCCCCCTCACTAACTTTATCCCTTGCTAAATTCCTCAAAACACCTATATAAGTCACCTATTTTTCAATCAACAAGGCAACCACGTCTCACTCTTGTCTATATTTCCCACTACCACAACAAATATGCCGTAAAGACTCGCAGGACAAATGCTGTTTATATTGATGACGGTAGTATTTTCCATCGTTTTCATTACACCTGAAAATTTTCACACACTCGAGCAAAAGAATCTAAGCCTGTTAATTGAACAATTTAGAAATCTACAATGCTCGCTTGAACTTATTTGGCTTTTTTAATATAAATTTAACATGCCATACGTGGGCCACCCAAATCCAACAGCCATGCCGGTGCCTGCTTTCTTTGCTCTTTGATCTCAGGGTGCGTTTAGTTCCAAAAATTTTTGGATTTTGGCTCACTGTAGCATTTCGTTTGTATTTGGTAATTAGTGTCCAATTATGAACTAATTAGGTTCAAAAGTTTCGTCTCATGATTTCCACGATAATTGTGTAAAGTTTTTTTTTCATCTACCAACAGCCATGCCGGTGCCTGCAATTCTTTGCAAAATTTTTTTTTTTTTTGATCTCAATTCGTTAAGAACAAACAAGATCTCGGGGACGTCATGACTTTCAAATATTCTGCACAGTAACACACATTGGCACATTGCGAAAATGTCCGGGACGAACCTTCCGCCCGGTCTCCTTCATCCCCTCCTCTCGCCGTCTCGGATATTTCCCTGACGTGACACCAATAGCTGTGCCATTAACGCTGCAGAGAAAATGGCCGCGTCTTTCGTTGTTCACTGCTTCATTCCGTCGGCCACAGCGTCACAGGTAAGGACCGGAAGGCGCCATCGTCAGCCTGTATTTATCCCCAGCCGTCAAATCCTGCAGTAGCTTTCAAACAAGCCGGTACAATAAACAGACCGGTAAAAATTCTCACCTAAAATCTAAGCCTAACTTATCATCATGCGCTGGGGTTTACATGCCTTTCGACAGGACTGAAAAATAAGTAAAAATACTGTTCCGGCTGATTGTTACGAGGGAAAAATATTGTTGTCAAACACTGTTCATGTTAACAGTGTTTATACGAGTGTGCCGGCCAGCCAACCCCAGCTCCAGCCCCAGCCAAGCCAGCCAGCCGAACGCACCCTTAGCTGCTGCGTGCTACTCCAGTGGTTGAACAACTAATTAAACTGTGAAAGCAACTGCTCGGTCTGCGTTCTTGCATGCCATTCTGAAATGTTTTCTACTCCGAAGGTGATCCTTTTTATGAAATTCGTTCATGGGAGCACTGAAAGGAATTTTCAAAACCCGAACAAGAACCGCACATGTGCGAGATGAGACGCTTTTACATGTTCGTTCAAAACTTCAAATCCAGCAGCTGCCCCACGCCGTTTGTCCCTGTCGATCTCGGCCTGGGCCCTGCGCAGCCGGGCCTTGTAGTCCTTGGCCCACGCGCGGAACTGCGCCTTGAGCCTCTTGAGGTCGTCGGCGGAGCTGGCGGCCGGCGGCGCTCGACGGCGCGCTCCAGCGTACGGCTCTGCCGCCGGAACTCCGAGCCGAGGCGGCCCACCGCGCTCCGCCTGGCGCCCACGGACGACAGACGGTCCCGGCCGTGCCACAGCCTCACCACCGGCGGATCCTCGACCGCCGTCTCCCTGTGGGGTTCCGAGGGTCCGCGGCGATCGTACGCTGTCTCTTCGGCCATTCGTGCAGCGTCCTGAGCCATCTGCATGATGAACACATATATCACGCAAGCGTTCAGAGTTTCAGATGCATACATCTTTTTTTGGCAGAGCGTTCGAGACTCCGGCGAACCTGCAGAGCGGCCATCTGTTCATGGAAGGCTTCCTCGAGGGACTTGGTCCTGATCTCGTAGTCCAGCCACCGGATGTGGTAGCTCTCGATCCGCCGCTTCAGCGCGGCGTTCTCCTCCTCCTTCTCCCGCAGCCGCGCCTCGACCTCCACCGCCTTCCTCTCCAGCTCCTCCACCACCAAGGCTGAAACATCCTCCGTCGCCATCCTCGCGTCTTCGGGGTCCTGCGCCATTGATCACCGCAAGGCATTGTAACCTCGAACAGAACAGTCACGTGCATTCCTCAAAATAACCAATGATGGCCGGGCCGATGCTGATAATGTCGACGAGAGCGGAAGTGAATTGAAGCCACGGAACCTCAATAGGCGACGGCGACGACGGCGACGGTGAAGGAGACGACGGCAGCGGCGGAGGCGCCCATGGCTCTGCGGCCTGGACCCGGACTCTGTACCGCGGTCGCAAAGGTTGCCGGCCTCGCGGAGTCGGCCGCGCGGGAAGTGGCGGCGGCGAGGCGAGGGTGTCGTCGATGGGCGTGTCGTCGTCATCGCCGCCCCCCGCTCCTCCTCCTCCTCCTGATCCTCGCATCAGAGAGTGGAGCATCGCCTCCAGGGAACTCAGGGCGGACGTTGGCAGCGCCGACATCGCCATGGCCGGCGTTCTAGACAACAGCAGAAATGCAGATGCGGCAAGGGGGCGGCGCGCGGGCCTCGTCGCAAGCCGATTCTTATATCCTCGTGAGATCGCATCAAGATTTCATAGCGACAGCGCGCGATGCGTGACGAGTTTCGGGTGAGGAGAGCCGAATTCGCAACGAGTTGCTGCAGCATCGGAATAGGAAGCCGTTTATTGATCGACGAGCGAGGAGGTGCATGCGCGCATGCATGGAGATGTTTTTGTGAAGGGCCAGTCGGGGATTGAAGAGTGGAGAGGAGAGCGTCCGGAAATATAGGATCTCTATCTCTTTGAAAATAACAGTCCATATCCATAGACATCGGTGTAGGCCTCTTCAGTCTTCACACTTTCACGGCCAAAATCAAACATATTTATCATCTATCCCTTCCGTCATGTAAAGATTGGACTCTTTGTTCTGAATCTTATATACGGTGGTGGCTTGAATGTGGGGAATTGCAAAAGATAGCTGTAGACCTATCGGTTAAGTTTATATTGCCATGCATCTTTTGTTTAAAAAAATGTAACTTAAAATATTCCAACTTAAATTGCTGTATAGCCCTGGTGGATCCAGGGTCTAAATCCGGTGGGGCCAAGATTTACACAGACATACGCAAGATCGATTAGTTGCAAGTCAATTGACAAGTGTTACGTAGGAACATGTTGTGGCAAAGTGTAGATCCGCCACTGGTGTATAGGTAGTAGCTAGAGTGTTCTTTTGTAGATCGATGGAGGTAGTAAGCGAGCGGCAGTGCTGGAAGGAGCAATACAGGGATTTTTTTTGTGAGACTTTGACATGTGTGGATTACACATGTTACACATGTCGAAGGGATGAATTTTTCTTAATTCGCTAAAGGGTATCTCCTCTGAAATTTCAAAACTTGTTTTATGTGATTACACAATACAATATGAGACACTTACAACGTACACACACTCACCTCTATAAACGTTAACACACAAATCCTACCCTTATATGTATCTTCAAATGACTGTCCGACAAACCCTCGAGATCGAAACCCTCCCTCTAACTAAACAAAGTAAATTTGGCCCGTGCCTTCACCCTCTTCACCCTATTGGGTAGGATATGGACAAAGGTAACACCGTTTAAAAAAGCATTCACCCTGTTTGCTTGAGCCATGCTTATCAGCTATGATATAATATTTTTCTCTCACAACAAAACAACATCAGTCGGCTTATAAGCCACAGAAACGATCAAGCAAACACGGTCTTTCTCGATATGAGCTCGACTCAAAACATTATTTTCATTTATTTTTATATTAAAAACTCATGGGCGGTCCATATCAATTCAAAATGTGAAGTCTAAATCTGCCATTGCACGAATCCACGCGCAGATTCTAGGTTCAAAACCAATCTTCAGATTTGGTCTAACTTTTGCTTCTGTTAGATGTGAGATATTCACCCTATTCGCTTATGCTGAAATGTTGTGAGAGGAAAATACTATTTCATAACTGAAAAATAGTGCTGAATAAGCTCAAGTGAATAGGGTGACCGTATTTTTCTCAAATTTAGGAGATCTCTATCTTATTTGATACAACTCTGCTTCACTCATAGAGCAATGTTTCAGCTCAACAAGCAACTTTATTGGTGAAGGTAAAATTATTTTGAAAAACAACTTAAGTAAAACAACTTTTCGCAGGAGTAGTTGATAAAAACTTATATTTTCAGCCCGACCAGCAGTATGTTCGTTTAGCTATGACTTATCATAAACGATAGTAAATTTTCAGCTAGAATAATATTTTTCTCTTACAAAACGCAAAAATGGTATCTGTTGACGAACGAGCAATGAAACGATGGAGCCAATCGAACAGTCTGCTGGTTTTCAGAAACCCGAGAGTCGAGACAGTTTTCTTTTTTACCCGCTTGGTAGAAAAACTGGGCGAAACAGCCCCCTTGGCTGCCGCTGAACCAGTTCCGACGAAACGGTAACGGGCCGGCTCACCGCGGGTGTCTCCATGTCCATGGACGGCCCTGCCACCTCGCCGGCGAGCGAGGTGCCGTTCCGCATCAGCTTCTCCGGCCACGGCGGCCACCTCCGCCTCGACCCTACCCCGCACACGCACAGCCCCATTCCGGATTTCGTCCTGGTACGCTCGCGATCCCCGCTTCGCCCTAAATCACTCATGGCGTTCAATGCAACCTGTAAACCCTAAACCCACCGTTGTGGCGATGACGACCGCAGCCGCCGGCTTACCCGGCCGAGAGCCCGAGCAGCGTGAAGGAGTACCTCGAGAGGAACTACCTCGACCCCGAGCTGCACCTCCCCACTGCGGCCGATAGCGGGAGGGTGTGGGATGTCGATTGGTTCGCCCTGGCCAGGCCGCCGCTGGAGCCCTCTGCCCCCCGCACCACACTCGCGCCCGCCTGGGTACCGCCTTTCCGGCGCGGCCGGCAGAAGCTGCAGTCCGCGTCGGAGTCACAAGTGTGGGATCCTGAGTCCGGGCAAATGGAGATGGTCGACGTGTTCGATTCAGGGACCGGGGGGATGGCGCCTCGGATGCCTGGTCCGGCGAAGGACTTCGTCAGGGGGAGAATCAACAACAGACCTTTTCGTCCGGGCGGTCTGCAGGATGACACAGCTGAGGCGGCTGCCCTGGAGAAGGCGTTCCCAGAGGGTGCACGGAATGGTGATTGGGTGCGTGAGCTCATGAGTGGTGGCCCGGCGCAGGTTGCTCCTCCAGGGTTCCGTAAGGGATTGGAGCTGGGTCAGTTGAAGGTTTGACCCTTACTTGTGTCTCTTCCGCCATGTAACCACGATCACTGATGTGGATGTGCCAAACTGTACGGTGGCTGGTACTTTTCTTGTAGGAGTATAAAGGCCACTGGAAGTGTTTCCAGAATGGAGAACTTGTAGAGGAGCAACCTGCACCATCATCGAATGACACAATGGTAATCAGAGCACATATTTTGCATTTGAACATTCCACATTTGTGCTTACTTTGCCATTGTAGAGTTGTAGTCTCGATTATCCCTTTGTTCTGCAGGAAAAGTACTCTGTGCAGTTTGATGATCTTTTCAAGATAGCGTGGGAGGAAGATGCTGCCAACAAGTTGTTGCAGGAGGGTGTTGTTGAACAATCTGCTGAAGGTGAAGGAATCAATGGTACTTTATTGTTCTCATACATCATATGTTCAAGTTACATGAGTACACTGTCTTGGCAAATTGTAATAGCTAAAAGATAATGGGACATTATAACCACTGTTGCTACTAGGACATTAGCATTTCAGTTCATTTACCAAAGCCTGGTTTCTTGTTAAGCTTTTCATTTTCCATTGGCAGAAATTGGCGAACAAAAAGTTGATGCATTGCAGGATGCTTCCGAGACTATAACAACGCTAGATGCTGAGAAACAGGAAGTTGATGTCATAAGGGGTGTTCCTGAAACTCAAACAGACTTGGATCAAATGTTATCTTCCGAAGTACAGGCTGCTGCAGGCAGAGAACCAGGTGTATCAGGTGATGAGAAGCCAATACAGGATGGCATGGTAAGCACTCTTTATGCATTTTCTTCTATCTCACTTCCTATGCTGTGCTTCTTGTTCCGTAAGCTTCAGTGGTGGATAGTGCTGCAGAAATGATAAGTGGTCTGGTCTCACAATTCTCTATAGATCATGGATGAAGCAATAATGCCAATGTATCTCTATTTCACCTATAGGTTTGGGCACTTGTTGGTGGGGATGAAGACATAGTGACTAACTTCTACAAACTCGTTCCAGATATGGCAATCGAGTTTCCATTTGAATTGGATAAGTTCCAGAAGGAGGTAAGTTGTACTCATATGCATCCTTTTCTGTTTCATTGTATTCTCCATATACTACATCATCCAAGTGCATACACTGCTTTTTTTTTACTTGGACTTTGATAGGCAAATTCACACTACAATACCTGCTTATAATTGTAAATACTTCGTCTATGTTTGGCATCCTTAGCCTGCAATTTTACTTCACGGTATACACTTGGTCGCAGCTTGATTTGTATTAGGACATATACTGACATAGATACTTTCATAGTATACATTCAGCTTGCAATCATCTAAACAATTTTACTTCTATTGCGTTGCAATACCACATTAGATATTTCCTTAAAAGAACACAAGTTTGCATATCTCTGTGAGAAGTTTAAAAGCCAGTCCAGTCTAGGGTTGTCCTTCCTGGAATACAAGACTACCAAGGAATTTTAAATGAAAAGAAACATCTAGTGAACCTATATACCCTTTCCTCTATTTCCTGTGGGAACTATTTGTTACAAGGTGTCTTAGTTGGTATCACTACCTATCTGCTTTTGAACTCATAAAATTATGTTTTTAAATGCTTGGTATAGTTGCTAATCTGTATTTCTTTTGTCTACCAAGCACAGGCTATATATTATCTCGAGAAGGGTGAATCAGTCTTTGTTGCAGCCCATACTTCGGCTGGAAAGACAGTTGTTGCTGAGTATGCATTCGCATTAGCAACAAAAGTATGATTTCATTTGCTCTTTCTTACTTTTTGGGTAATTTTGCTCATTTTAAACTGCCTAGCATCTTCCACACTTAAATAGCTTCTAAACCCTTGCGTTGAGCCCCCAGCTTATGTTAGGAGGGAAATCTTTAACTTAGCATTACTTTTTTTAGTTGCTTTGAGAAGTATTCAGTTCTTACTTTCTGATAAGATTCATTTCTGCTTTTCTCAGTAGATTGATCTTTAGATTACATGCTCCAGTGCACTCTCTCGAGTTCCTCACCGTAATAGTTGATTTAAACCCACACTGTAATAAAAAAAGAAAATGTTAGCATTGATCTTATGATGACAGATAATTTTGTTTGCAGCATTGCACTAGGGCTGTCTATACTGCTCCTATTAAAACTATCAGCAACCAGAAATACAGAGATTTTTCTGGGAAGTTTGATGTGGGACTTCTGACAGGAGATGTTAGCATCAGGCCAGAGGCAACTTGCTTAATTATGACTACTGAAATATTGC